AAAAAAAAAAAAGGTCGAGAAGGGAGAGGGTTGCCATGTTGTGGGGCTGTTAACCAATGTCATAAAACAGTATGTATAGTACTGTTTCATGAGAAACTATCTGTTCTGTAAGCCTTCACCTGAAGTACAATACAAAAAAAAAAAAAATGTGTACTGACTGTTTAATGAGAAAATATTTGTCCTGTAAACCTTCACCTAAAGTACAATAAAAAAAAATACTTTAAAAAAAAAAAATCCCCTGAAGCCTTCTTTAAACCAAACAACAGTCTAGTTTATTATCTAGTAAGGACTGTCCACTGTAAGCTTTATGCTCTTTTAAAAAACTTCACTGCTGTTGTGCACCGTCAAGTAGATTCTGACTCATAGTGACCCTACAGGACAGAGTAGAACTGGCCCATAGGGTTTCCCTGGCTGTGATCTTTACAGGAGCAGATCGTCAGGTCTTTTCTCCCACAGAGCGGCTGGTGGGCTTGAATCGCTGACCTTTTGGTTAGCAGCCAAGCATTTAACCATTGTACCATCAGGGCTCCTTACTATATGGGATCAAACTGTTAACAGCAACTTGAAAGGTTAGATAGCAAGCTTGGGGGAAGTGAGTTTATATCCACAGGGGAGAAACAAGTTGGAAAACGAGGGTGAGAATGGCTGCATAATTTGAAGCTTGTGATCAATGTCACTGAACACTACACGCAGAAATTGTTGAATTGGTATATGTTTTGCTGTGTGTATTTTCAACAGCCACCACAAAAAAAAGAGCCTCTCTAAAAATCAAGACGTAATTCTAACTTCATGAAATTGACTTAGATAATTTCCCTATCAAATCTATCAAAATGAGTCTCCTACCTGTTCTTTCCTGGTGGGGTACTTCAGGATGTTTGCTTTGAAAAGAGGGTACTTTTCATAGTTATAATCGTACATCCATTCACAGAAATGATTCCCGATGTCAAATCCCCTGAAATACGGGAGAAGAGAGTACACAGCATGAAGCGAACTGCTAGGCCAGGAGGCTCCCAGCTTACAGGGAAAAAAAGAGGCTGGGTCACGAGCACCCGCCCAGACCCCGCTGGACTTCCCGGGTTTACGAGAGCATGATGCTTTCACGACAGGACAGCCCACTGGGGGCTTTCTGCTGAAGCCATACAGGTGCCACCTGAACCACTACTCGGGCTCCGCGTGTTCAAGAGCACCCTCTGCAGTCAGGGCTTCTAGGAAAGGGAAAGGGTTTCAGAAGCAAAAAGAAAATACAGATTCTGGATTTTAACTCCTCCTCCCCACTCCCCCTCACACAGTGAGCCAAGGACAGGGGCCAGCGCTGCCTCTTCACACAGTCACCACAGGCCACTGGGACGAACGCTGTAGCTCCCAGGCAAAGAGACTTCAGCTGGGATTGGTATTTTCACCTATTCTCTCCCACAACTGGTTCATCAAAGTATCAAGACAGTGAAACGCCTGGAATGAAGCGTTCACTTACACATCTCACCTGTAGTTGTAACTGCTGTATTCAAAGTCTATCAGCATCAGCTTCTGTTTTTCAGAGTCCTCCCGGCCGTCCAGCAGTAAGATATTACCTGCAAGAAGGTTTGGAGTTTTTACTCCAGAGTAGCTCCCGAGTAGCCTGCCTGGCTCTCCCGGGAATCTGGCTTCTCGTTCAGTTTTCTAGGGCAGCACTGCCCAACCCTTCACACGGTGGCGCGAAGGAAACACGTCTTGGCCAGCCACCAGCGGCCCTGCAGCCCGGCCAGCCTGCCTGGGAAGCTCGATGAGGATGCCGGCAGGAGCTCAGCTGCCACAGAGCCACAGTGGCCACACTCAGGCCCACTGCTCTGTTCATGTCTGTTTTGCCTTCCCAATAAAGAGGCTGCCAGCAGTGTTCCCACCACTGTATTCCTTTAGGGCTGAGCCCTGGGCCAGGAGTGAGCTGGGCGCCAGACTGGCTGTTCAGCACAGGCTCCTGGCACCCCACACTCTGCATGATGCTCAGTGTCTGGGTACCGTTTCCCGAGTGAATAAGCCAACGGAAACCACCCACAGCAAATGCAGCAGAGGGGCAAGTATGAGGGTAGCAAACACCAGTGAGGGTCTCTGAAAAGCTCCCAGGCTTTTCAGCGTCCTTCTTCCGTTTCCAGTAGCAACACAAGGGCGAACTGGAGGTAGACGGCCAAAGCAGCAAAGCAAACGTACGCCCTACCCACTCTACACTTCGCCATCACTTGAGCCGAGCCTCTCGGTGACACCCATGCAGTTTATTAGCCAAGGGTGACGCTCACAGCTACAGCTGACATTTCCACGCCGTGCTTGACCTGAGACTTCTGCCTTTCAGCTCAAACTAAGCATTGCCGACAGGGAAATACTCTCAACATTCAAAACAAAACAGTGAGCCTGACAAGGCAGGGCCTGCGGAGGGACCTCAGCTGCGGCCGGGGAGGGCAAGGGCAACAGTGCAAAGCAGCAGCAGCAGCGAGGAGGAGCCAGCAGCACAGCTGGGAGCAGTGCAGTTCGATGGGAATCTCCGATCAGATGAAGTCTGAAAGCGTGCCAGGTGACGTTCTGGTACAGTGAGGAATACTATGGCATCGGAGCTTTGTAAAGCAGAGGACCCCAATGTCGTTACTAGCACAGGGAGCTGAGAAGAGAGAAGGGGGCTTTGCTAGGCTACTGTGTGCTGCGTGGTATGGAAGGGAAAGGCCGGGACTGATTGAGGAGGCAATCTTGCTTTTTAATTGTTTTTCCAGATTAAAAAGGTCATAGACGGTCACCGTAAAGATTTAAACACTGAAAAAAAACACAACTTAGAAAGTTAAAATCCCTATCTCCACCCTCAATAAGTGAAAACTCTTTCAGATTTTATCTATAAATGCATTTTTTACAAAAAGGGGATGATACCCTGCATGTTTTCCTGAAACTAGCTTTTTCCTCTTGGTACATCCTGGAGATCTTTCTGTTGTACGAACACGGTCTCCTTCTTTTTAATAGTTATGCACTGCTTCACTGTACGGCTATGTGGTCAGCTAACGTATCTACTCCTCGAGTGATGGACACGGCTGGTACTCATCATGACACCAGAGGTCCTCCCGTAAGCACAGGCCCAAGCCCGTTTCAGCCTAACAGGGAGCAATTCTTACCTTCTTGACAGTCATTATGACAAAATACAACTGGCGAGGGAGTGGACTCAAGCAACGATCTGGAAAAGAAAGGTGTCACTCTCACACAGCGCACTTCTGACCGAGACGCAAACAGCGTACTCTCCCAGCATGCACTGCACTGACAGGTGCTCCAAACCAACCCACGGCCCGTGTGCATTTCTCACCATGTGGCAACCGTTCTACTGCGACTTGAACCACCACTCCCTACAGGCCCATGAGTGCACCATGCGTGCCCCCGCAGGCCCTCTGCACGCGCTGCTCCTCTGCCTGGAGGCCTCCCCTTCCTTACCCCCTAGGTCTTGGCCTGCACAGCCCCCCTCGGCGAGCCCTCCGCTCGCCCAAGCCCACGCGGAACCCTCCACGTTGGTCTCCATTTTGGCCTCTGGTTTCCTTCACAGCGCCCATCACAATTTGACATGATTTTATGCGTTTCCTTGTCTTCTGTCTCTCCCAATAGAACAGAAGCTCCTTTGTCCTGGTCCCCATTTCCTCGCCCCAACCCTAATGCCCAACACAGCAGAAGCTCCAGCGTGTGACTAGCTGAAGGTGTCCATACCTATCAGAGGAGGTATGCTGGCACCCAGCCTCACACTGAAGACACTACAGCAGCCTCTACTCAGAGGAGACCAGGACCGAGATTCTTACTGGTCCCCAGAGCTTAGGTAACCCTTTCCTTCATCTGCTTAATGCTGCCCGCCTGCCTGCCCCGTGATTTCCTCTACTGCCCTAGTCTCCCAACCATTCCCTTGGCTTAAAATCACCTGAAATTTTACTTCCTCCAAGAAACCTCCATGGACTGACGGGAGAAGTCATAGCATTTGTATAAAACTACTTCCAAATGACAACATTCATCTGTCTAAATTCATCCTGCAGAACTACCATAAAATGCCAGACACAGGCAATGTTTAATCACTGTGCGTTGATGACAGTTTGAGTTGACTACGGATATTCAAATTTCTGGACAAAGGTGCTGATGAAGTGAGAAAACGAAAGCATATGCTCACCTCAAGTTTTCCATTTCCAAAGGCAGATTGTAACTGAGGAGTTTGTGTAGTTTCATTCTGGATTCCCCGGTAAATTTAATTCTCAGCACTTGATTGAGGTATCTTTGCCAAAAAAGGAAACAAAGGATCAGTGCACAATGCACCCAGGCCCCTTCCTGGGGCTTTAGTCAAACCTTCAGTACCAGGACCTTCACACAGCAGTGGGTGGGGGGTGGTTCACTGGGTTCTAGGAAGTCCATTTAGCGCCCACCCACCCAGCCTTGTGATTACATCTCTGCAAACAAGTCTTTCCTGATTCCAGGCTTTCTTTTTACATGCAAGAGAGATTTATTCATGAGACAACAGAGCCCACTGGCAGCCTGCATCTCCGACAGTCAAAGGCTCCAAGGCGGAGCTCTGACCACCACAGGGTGTCAGGCACTAAGTGCCACCAGTGTTAGCCGAGTTAGGACCAAGTGAGCTGACCACTTACTTTTCCATTGTTCCAAAAAGCCACTTTGGTTCCTTATTAAACGGCATTTTCATACCATGAAATGTGGCCATCTTCTCAGCTATTTCTGCAGAAATATCTGGTAAACTTAATTCTTCAGTGTCTAATCGTCGGCTCTGGAATGAAGGGAGGCAGAAAATGGGCTTACCCAGGTGACCTAAAGCGTCGACCTCACACAGTTTTAAGAACTAGCAGCCAGTTCATGTAGGGCATCTAACTCCCACTCAGTGCCCAAATTCCCTTAGGAATGGCTACTGGGCCCGACACCCAGGCCTCTCCCATGCAGGACACCACGGGGGCCGGAGATGGTCCCAGTCCTCAGGAAGCTGACCACTCAGGTAAGAGGGGGAATCCTTTCATGAGTTTCCAAACCTGGCTGGGAGAGGGAAGGCAGGCCAACGAGGATCAATATCACCAACCACACAAGTTAGCGCTGAGGACCCAGAGTCACCCTTCAGCGGCGTGTTTAATTAGAACTCTCGAGTGCAAAGCATTATGGGAGCCAGGTGTGGGAAGGGTGCAGGGCCATACCTCAGACAGACACAGGACTCTACAAGAGGGCATACTGTAACACAAAATGTTAACAGCAACATGAAAACTGTCCCAGAATGACAAGAAAGGGAAAATAATCCTGACTTCTTGGAAACAATAGATTTGAGCTAGGCCTTGAAATGTGGGAGGGGTTTGACAGGGAAGATGGGGGTGGCGAGATTCTAAACAGTGGGAAGGAGTAAACAGAGATGGAGCAGCTAAGATGAATGAAAAGGAGGTGATCACTGGGGGCAGGGGAGCCCACAGATGCAGCAGGGAGTGGGCAGGGCAGGGTCAGCGGGCCCTAGCAGCGAGTTCTATCAAGAGGCTGAGAGGGACAAGGTAAAAAACGGAATATTTCAGGGCAAGCAGCCTTAGGAGACTATGGAATACTAAGTTTCATATCTATTTTTAATTTTGGATGACTATGTCTTTGCAGGAAAGATAGGTTCTCATGTAGGTCAGAAGAAACTATTTCTCTTTATTTCTGACGCAGTTTAAGAACAGAGGTCACACTGAGTATTTCGGTGAGACCAAGAGCCCCTCTTCCGTCCAGGGGACGTGTCAGCAGACCAGTCAGGAACACATCTTACCGGAATGAACTGCTCCAGCCGGCCCTGGGGAAAGATCCCATAGAGTTTGGGACCTAGAGACCTCTCTGCAAGAATGGCAAACATCACACTCTCCAGAACCATGGCCTCGGCCCCCTGCAACGACAGCAACAGGTCAGAGGTTCCCTGGGGTCTGCTCTGTGCCAGGGATGCCACGTGCTTTTACAGGAACAGGCTCATTGGATCCTCACAACAACTGGATGTTTATTATTATCATCATCCCCATTTTAAATACGAAGAAACGGAGGTTCCAAGTCACAGATTTTGTGATTTGAAGATCCGTGCTTGAGGGCATTATACTGTATCGATGAGATTGAAAATGTAAGTTTAATGTAGGTCACTGGCTCCAGAAATAGAACAATATCAATCAGTGCTTTTATTGCTTCTATTTATATTAAAATCTGTGTCTGAGTTTCACCCTTGGTGTCTTACCAAAGGTCACAACGCCACTCATCCTGGTGAGGGCCCGTGTGCCTTTCAGTTTAGAGAGCCAAGAGAAAGTGAAGGGTCCAAAGGACCCCCTGGCCTTGTTAAGCTGGTCTGTGGCTCCACTAAGTTCCAGAATTACTGATTTAGATCTGGGGTCTCTGGCTTTTTGCCCCAAAGAGCACTCTCACATGGGGCGTTCAAGGTTTCTATTTTCCACCTTTCCACCCAACCTTTTAACCTCTGTAGTTGAATGTTTGTCTGCTTGCCAAAATCTCTATGGTGCTCAAATGCTCTGTCTTCAACCCCACTAACTAGTGAGGGATATATAATCATCTTGCCTTCAAACTCCATCCCTCAGGCTCAATTCAAGTTCATTCCTTAGTTCTTTTTTCCTTAAACAGAAAATCACAGCTTGAGAATTCCCATCGGTTGGGGTGAAGGCGTTGGAAAGGAGTTGTTCTGAACCAGAAGGTGCACCTGAATCCCCTCAAGAGATTTTACAAATTTAAGATTCCTGGGTCCTACCCAGAGTGTTTCTAACTTAACGTATCTAAGGAGGGGTGCTGACAGGTGTGTTCTGAAAAGGCTTCCGGATGACTCTAACTCACCCCTTCTTAAGACGTGTGCTGTGGGGGAATATGATTCCAAAGCAACACTGCTCAGGATCAAACAGAGCGCTTTAAAATGCACTCACATTACAAAACACAAGCCAAAAAGCCAACAGAACAAACTCATTAGGCAATACAAAATGCTAGAGTTAGTGAGAAGAAAACAAAAAAAAGAGAAAGGTACTCCCAAAGGCTACCAGACCACGTGAAAGTACAAAGTACTTCAGTCATGCTTCATTGTGTGGGAGGAAAACGGGTTTGTTGGTAATCCACAATTACAGTCCACCCATCAGCTTGTGTGACCCCCCAATTATGGTTACTCCATCTCTTGTGAGGCCAAGTCTTTATCTACTGATTTGTAACACTGTGTATATGATAATACAGATACAACGTCAATCTATCAAGTTAATGCATTCTGGAGCAGCATTCAGTATCACACGGGTATTTCTAAGACCTTAAAGGGGCCCTGGTGCACAGTGGTTAAAGCAATCGACTGCTAACCAAAAGGTCAGAGGTTTGAAACCACCAATGGCTCAGGGGGAGAAAGGTGTGTCAGGCTGCTTCCGTAGAGATTTACAGCCTTGGAAACCCTACAGGGTCGCTGAGTCAGAATCAACTCAACAGCAGTGGGCTTTGGGTTTTTAAAAGAGAAAGACAACAGATCCTTCATATCTCTATTTAGTTCTCAGTCCCTCGTTTGACACGCACAGGCCTGTCCAGGAGGCACGGTCACCGCTAGACCATTTTACCTCAGGCCCTGCTTCACACACACCCCACAGGGGAGTTTACCCAGAGGCCATGTGTCCCCCAAATGATCTACCTCCAGACAGACTCCACTGCGACCCACTGAGCAGCCACCCCACGGTGGCTGAACTCAGCACCGAGACTAAGTAATCGGCCATTTTGTGGCTCTTCGCAGCCCTGTGCCTACTGTAGAATCTCCCACCTCAAACTTGCAACCCACTCCCTGGTCGTTTCCAAAGAGTTGGATTGCTTCCATCTGGGTATTCCAAATTTTGTAGGAATTAAAATTTGTCTTTCAACTTTGCTCTGTGTGGAATGACTAATCTGAAGGGTAGCAGGGCTGGCACTGTGTAAGACCCATACGTGCACCCAGTCCCAAATACCCCTCCAAGTTTGAAACTTAAAATGTTATGTATAGACGCAGAACCTCACTTTATTATTTCAGCAAGTTTAACATTTTGCGCATCATGGCCATTCAGAACAAAGGACACTTGGAGTTGTCTGCGTATTGTGCCACTGTCACTGAACTTGGACTGAACACACCACCGGAATCCTCCCCGGAGCCGAGTCAGCTCCATTCCCAGAGACGGAGAAGATGCAAAGAGACTCAAGAACTTTCCAATTCTCTTTAGCATTGTCCTGAACACCATGAACAAAAAACACCTATGTTCTTAATAGTGCGGTAGGGAGACGGGAGGAGCCCTGGTGGCGCAGCGCGTAAGAGCTCAGCTGCTAACTCAGAGGTTGGCAGTTGGAATCCACCAGCTGCTCCTTGGAAACCCTATGGGGCAGTTCTACTCTGTCTTATAGGGTTGCTATGAGTTGGAATCGACTCCACTGCATAGGGTTTTTTGGTTTTAGGGAGAAAGGGGAGTGAGCATGCGGGGCTAGAATTCGGAGAGCAGGAAAATGAAACGACATCAAGGCACAAGCAAGAAAAATGGATAGGAGGAGAAGGATGGCGGGTAACTTTAGAATGAGTGTATCAACTCTTGGTGCTCTTTCTGTAATCAGTAAGTCTCCAAACAAGGAGCCCTGGTGGCACAGTGGTTAAGCGCTTGGCTGCTAACAAAAGGTCAGCGGTTCAAACCTCCCAGCCACCCCGCAGGAGAAAGATGTGGCGGTCTGCTTCCATAAAGATTACAGCCTTGGAAACCCTATGGGGCAGTTCTACTCTGTCCTATAGGGTCGCTATGAGTTGGAATTGATTCCACGGCAAAGGGCTTGGTTTTGTTTTAATCTCCGAACACCCTCCTGCTTGCTACTTAAGGGAACTGAGCATGGTAGAGAATGGGGCTGAGCAGACGGGACTGCAGCAGACAGGGCTGCAGTATGCCTGGCTGCAGCATGCTGCTCCACATCTGCTCTGGTTCAGCCTCAGGCCATCAGGCCACAGCTGGAGACAGCTGAGGGAACAAGGGCACACTGGCCCCACTTTCTCAGGGGAGAAGATCAACGCCTCAGCTTGAAACCGTTCTGTTCAGTTCAGCGTCAGAAATCCTTTCACCCGAAAAGCACTTTGTGAGTGTACCACGTACCTGTCCCTGTGCCAGGTGCCAGGGAAACAACAAAGAACGAGACACACAAGGCTCCCCTCATGGAGCTTACATTCTAGAGAGAGAGGACAGACGACAAATGAGTAAACACAGCCACAGACCAGGGTAAGTGCCATGAAGGAAACAGAAAGGGTGACATGACAAGCGCAGCTGGGGGTGGTTTCATCCGAGGAGGTAACACCGCCCTGAGACCTCGGGATGAGAGGGAGCTGTGGAAAGACCACGGGAACGCGAGGAGGCCCTGAGGTAGGAGCAAGTTTGGCACATTCAAGGGACGGGGACAGGGCCAGTGTAGTTGGAGCAGGGCAATCAAGAAAAAAGGAGAGGCCAAAATCAGCCTGGAGAGCTGGCTGTGAGTGGTGACATCAAATCAGCTAAGTGCAGGCCGGGGCCAAAGCTTCAAACCCAGGAGTCCTCAGCACGCCGACGAAGCTAAAGCTGATGACCTGGGTGAGCTCTCCTGGAAGAGTACTGACGAAGGAACCAGGGCAGGGGCAAGGACTCCCAGCACTAACAGTGATGGCTTTCACATGGTTTGCCACCCGTAATAAGGAACGAATTTTACCCAACGACCTAACACACGCACACACATATCCCCGAAGCAAACATCACACACGGCAATACTTTCCATCCCAATCGTGCAATACTTTCTAATGTTTTCTACTCATTTCATTAAAAACTACCAACAAAAATGCTGGTATTTCAAGCCCACTCGAGGCTTACAACCACCATTTGAAAACCTGATTTAAATTTCGGCAGCAGAAGAGGAAGCAGGACAGGAGAAGGGGAGGAGAAGAAAGGGGAGGGAAGGGGTCTCTGTCAGGAGAGGGGGTGGCTTTCTGCATCAGGTGCTGCTGGGAGGCCGACTAGGAGGAGAAGGCATGTCCACTGGGTCCGGCAACGTGGAAGGTGTTGGGGAGACAAACAGGACGGGCTTCAGGAGGGGTGGGGACAGGTGTCAGGCTGCAGTGGGTTGAAGAGTGGACAGAGGAGGGGGAGGGGAGCTGAACGGGGAAATGGAAGTGAGGCTATTTACACTGACTTTTCGTTTTATCTGTAAAGTGTTATTTCTTTAAAAAAGATAAAACTTCAGTAATAACAACATCAGTATCATGAACCTCTTGAGAAGACACAACATCATGCCTGTTGTATTCTTGTCAAAAATGTGTTACTTCCTTCCAGTTAGGAGAAAACATCAGACAAACCTGAGTTGAGGGGACATTTTACAAAATAACCGAACTGTATGCTTCACAAGCATCAAGACCACGAGTAACAGAAAGGATGGCAGAACTGTTACAGGTTGGAGGAGACTGGCGCAGTGGTGAAATTGCTCAGACGGTAACCGCAAGACTGGCAGCTTGAATCCACCAGCCGCTCCACGGGAGAAAGACGTGGCAGTCTGCGTCCTTAAAAATCTACAGCCACGGAAACCCTATGGGGCAGTTCTACTCTGTCCTACAGGGTTGCTATGAGTTGGAATTTGACTTGATGGCAATGGATTTTTCTGAAAGGAGAAATAGCCAAACACAACGTGTGGAAAACACGTGAAATTCAAATAAGGTCTGCAGCTTAGTTGTTACCAATGTTAATTTCCAGGTTGTGATCACTGTACTATGGCTATTTAAGATGTAAGCATGAGGGGAAGCTGGGCAAGAGGTTTATCGGAGCTCTCTGTACTGTATCTGCAACTTTTCTGTTTTAAGTCTAAAATTAGTTTGAAATAAAAAGTTAAAAATAAAGGAATGCATATAACACAGAGTGAAATCAAGCAGTTCAACAAAATAACAGCTAATGAATTCCAGTTTCCTGCAAACCGTGCCCTTGGTGACCACCGGAGTAATCTTTTGAATTGCTAACTTGCTCCTGTCACCCCTCAATGGCGCACTCACTGCCTCCCGCCAAGTCCCACCTTCTCCAGACCAGTGTCCAGAGTAAGGGGCGTGCGTGACAATCCACCAAAGGTGAGAAAAAGCATCAGCCCTGTACTCCTTGTTACCCATCCCCTTTATGTCATTACCCTCAGTACTCTCCCATGCTTTTAAAACTTCTTTTAGATAAGAGAGACTCGGAAGTGAGACACTACAAACAGTGAGTGTAAGTACTCAATACTCTAAAGAAATCTTGCTGTGGAAGGAACAGAGCCCAGGGTGGGGGCCGCAGCAGACCCCAGAGTGAAGGGAGTTGGGGTCGAGAAAAGGGAAGACAGCAATGCACTGAGACTGGGCCGTGCTGTGTAGACGTGGGGGTGGTAAACAGGTGAGTGTGCGTCATTCCAGCCGGAAGAACAGCAACTGCAAAGGCCCCCTAGCAGCAAGGTAAACCACACTGTGTAGGGCAGCAGGGCTGGAAAGTGGGGAGTGAGGGGCAGTATGCTGTGCGCTGAGAACAGGCAGTTCAGCGGTGGTCAGACCAGGAGGCTCTGGCAGGATAAAGCCCACTTAACTTGGCCGGGGCAAAGAGTGAGCCACTGAAGGGTTTTAAGCAAGAGCGTGATGCTACCAGGTCAAAAATCCAAAGAGATCACCCTGGTGATAAAGGGCGTGGTTGGCAGGCAACCAGAGCAGAGGTGGGAGACCAGACAGGAGCGGGTGGTCACTTGGACTAGGGAGGCGGGTGGGTACCGATGGAGAGAAGCAGAGAGACCCAAGGCTTAGTTTAAAGGAAAAAAGTCGGCAAAACTCCTGGTTCAGATATGGAGTGAGGGAGAGGAGGGCATCACAAAGGATGCACTGCTTTCTGGCACCACTCACTGCAAAAGGGACACCTAGAAAGGACCAGGTTTGTTTTGCCGTGGGGGAAGGGAAGAGATCATGTGTTCAGTCTTGTCTATGGCAAGGCTGAGGGGCCTGTGAAAGGCCCAGGGAGACATTATTGCTGAAAGACAGTGTTCATTCCATGGAGGGAGCTGGGCTAGAGATAAGGAGTTGTGGATCTTTGGCCTGGAGATGAAATACGGGACTTGGCTGGATCAGGTGACCTGGGGAGCCAGAGATCTAGCACAGGAAGTAGGAGCATGAGCCTAGAAAGGAGACTAGGAGAAACGGAAGAAGGCCTCCTAGCGGGTGTCACCTCTGTGTCTTTATCACGGCTGCCTTGAGGGAGGAAACATTTCAAAACGGAAGGGCAGAGTGTCCAATGCTGCTGGGGGGTCAAAATAAAAGAACAACTGAAGACATACTTTGGAGTGAGCATCATGGAGTTCCTGGGGGTCCAACATTTTCAACCACCAGGAGGTAAAGAAGCCTAGTCACAAAGGGCTCAGAATGGTAGAAAACAGAGTATGTAGAAGACTTCTCAGTCACTGTTACCCCTGAGAGCACAGGGTCCAGTGGTCTCCAAAGCAGGGTGCACGTGAAACAATTCAATGAAACGGTAGGAAAAAAAAAAGGAATCCAAGTGTTGATATGTATCTCATCTTCTTTACATTTCTATTTCTTATTTTAATACTTAGTATGTTGTTGTTGTTAGGTGCCATTGAGTCAGTTCTGGCTCATAGCGACCCTACGTACAACAGAACTAAACACTGCCCGGTCCTGTGCCATCCTCACAATCATGGCTATGTTTGAGCCCATTGTTGCAGCCAATACATCTCACTGCGGGTCTTCCTCTTTTCCAGTGACCCTCTACCAAGCAGGATGTCCTTCTCCAGCAACTGATCCCCCAATAACATGCCCAAAGTATATGAGACGAGGTCTCGCCATCCTTGCTTCTAAGAGGCATTCTGGCTATACTTCTTCCAAGACAGATTTGTTGGTTCTTCTGGCAGTTCATGGTATATTCAATATTCTTCGCCAACACCACAACTCAAAGGCATCAATTATTCTTCGGTCTTCCTTATTCATTGTCCAGCTTTCACATGCATGTATGAGGCGACTGAAAATACCATGGCTTGGGTCAGGCACACCTTAATCCTCAAAGTGACATCTTTGCTTCTTAACACTTTGAAGAGGTCTTTTGCAGCAGATTTGTTCTATTTACTTTAATAATTAGTATATGATTAGTGTTCTAAGGTAAAAACACCACGAAGTAAAATAAAAAGAAAGGTTTTATTTGGCATATGTTCAAAGAGCAAAAGTAGGAAATGGATAAGCATGCTGCCAGAGCCGTGTCTGTCTGAGCTGGAGGAGGAACGTTACAGAATCATCAGTATATACTCACACTACGAATGGGCAAAACCACTGAAAGCTTCACCTTTTCACAGACTGGCTAAAAACTGTTAAGTCACTGTGATTCTACATTTTGAATCGTCTTTCTTAATAATCACTAATACAGGTTTCAGTAAAGACAGTCAGGAGGGTCTTCACTGGTCCAACAAATCTTACTATTTACTAAATGCTAATGGAAAAAGATAAAAGTGCAAAGTCTGTGGGTCTTTTGTGCTGTTTATGATTTGTTTATGTGAAAGTTTTCCTAAAAGATGTTTTCCAAGATTGGCCTAGCTATTGTCTTTATACCTCAGGGCCCAGCTGGTGAGTCCTTGTGAGTCCAGCTCCAGCCGGGTCACATTCTAGGATAAGGAATAATGGCTCCAATATTATCTCCTAAATCATTATTAAAACTAGTATATTTGTGTGTATATGTGTGTGTACACACAATTTACATACACACCTACATATACTGCAAGAGTGTGCTCAAAAGTTATTTACTCCTTAAAGATCACTGTTCCAGCTCCCCACTTCTAGGCCCCAAAGAGGGGCCAGGTCGGCCCTCAGTCCTCTCAGGCTCAAGCCCTTCTGAAGAGGGGCGTTTCAGAGACGGGGGTTGTTTCAGCTTCCACTCTCTTAGTCTAGAAAGAAGCCTTTCTGAACAGGGCATCATACCCAGGAGAAGGCAGTACTGCCTCCCTCGTGGGAGAGACTGGCTATTAAAACAAATGGACACAACCCATTTCACTCAGTACTGAAGTCATTCTGGAGGTTCATCCCTCAGCCAAAGATGAGACAGGTCTCTAGGGCAAACAAACCCTGCTGGTGTAGTGGTTAAGAGCTACAGCTGCTAACCAAAAGGTTGGCAGTTCGAGTCTGCCAGGCACTCCCTGGAAACTCTATGGGGCACTTCTACTCCATCCTATAGGGTTGCTATGGGTTGGAATCGACTTGACGGCAACGGGTTTATAGGGCAAACAATAACACGCGTGAGGAACACGCTTCACAGTTCAATCATGTATGTGAGACTAAATGGGCACGCCAGCCCAAAAGCAAAGGCGAGAAGGCAGGAAGGGACAGGAAACTGGATGAATGGAAACAGGGAGCCCAGGGTGGAGAAGGGGAGAGTGCTGACATATCACAGGGTTGGCAACCAATGTCACAGAACAATGTGTGTATGAATTGTTTAATAAGAAACTAATGTGCTCTGTAAACTTCCACCTAAAGCACAATAAAATTAAAAAAAAAAAAAAACTGGACAGCGTCCCACTTCCTCATCATGGCCAAAGGGAGTGAGAGACAGCAGCATCGGCATCAGAACGTCACACATAAACATACTCCAAAATGTCCATTTTTAGCACCCCAAATGTTGTCTGGATTGCCATGAAGACACCAAAAGGTCCCCTATCTACGCTCTCAGCATGAATTCGGGATACCCCTTTGCTCTCTCAGTCTTACTGAGGTGGCTCCCAACATACTAAGAACCTTCCGCTAAGAAAGACAGATGAGGATTTTCCGAGGGCAGGTGAGAGGTGCCACCAAACAGAGCAGCCAAACTTTGCTAATACCAGTTTCCACCTCATATAGATGCAGAACGGACTTCATTACTTACTTGAAATTCATTTTCTTTCTGAGCTTGTTCGGATCCCTCTTTATTACAGGACCTCTATGAATGAGAAAAAGCAAACACTTGCGGTGAGATGGGGAACACTAAGGCAGGCACTAGCTTTGCAACCACCAGAACAGTCAGGGTTTACAAGAACATCACAGATCTTTAATGGAGGATAAGCTTATCAGCCCACTGATATGACCAGTAGCAATCTAAAGTACACCACCAGTCTCCAACACTGGTACCATCACCTTACAAATAGCTTCATTTCTTTAGGAAAAAGGGATGTGCCATTGAGATCAAATCACTTTGTGTTGCAAAAGCCATCCCCATATGCCTTTTACCAATTTCATTGTCAGAGGAAAGTACACTCTTCCAATTAGGCTTTTGAAAGTAAGATGGTCAAGTTGGCTCGCTCACCAATTTAGCTATGTGGCTTTTTCAGGTCAGCGCTATCCCCAGGAGGCTGTCTTCCTGCAAGAGCAGGGCGTGTGACCACATCTGTGGAGAGCCACGGTCAGCACAGGACTCGGCCAGGCAGGCGGCTCACCTTCATGCAGTCTGTGTAGACAAGCCCTAGACCAAACTAGCCACTTGCACAGACAATAACTCTTCTAGTTCAGCCAGTCACTAGCTAAATCTGAAATTTCCCTCCACCAATAAAGAGGATTGTGTAAATTAAGCAACAATCCCTAAACTTATTTTACATATTAGTATGTTAAGGGATACTTTTGCATCACTTTCCTCAATGAAATTGCAAATTATTGGTAACCAGGATTCTAGCAACGACAACATACAAGATCATTAATGACCATAAACAACTCTGGCTACATTCTTCATGGCACAGATTATATACTTTAAAAGCTACCCACCACCCCAAGGGCTTTAAAAACCTTCATACTATCATTAAAGATAAAGGGATGGGGAAAAGTTAAGTCAGAAACTTAAGTATCATGTCAACATTTTATACTCAAATATTGTCTCTAAAATTAGGAGTTATTTATTACAATTAAACTAGGTCTGCTTAAGCCAGACATAAACGGAAGCCCATAAAGGAAGCCTCTTTAAAAAATTTATGGTAATAAATTCTTGAACATCCCATAAAAAAACATACCTTTCCATTCCACAGCTTTATCAAAAATACCTGTGCCAAGGGTGGAAAGTGTGGACAGGAAAAAAAATGCCACGTTAAGCAACACCAGCTACTCTAGCACCACTGAAAAAATCGAGGGATTTAAAGCAACCACGCCCACACATCATACCCTGAAATAACATCTAGACATTTTCACGTGTGTTTTGTATAAACACGTTCTACATGCTCTCTTTTGCTGAATACAAAAGTAAACAAAATAAACACATCCATGTTCATGAAGCTATCTGCAAAAGGCTATTAATGCTTGCATTTATACATATTCAACGTCTTTAAGATACACTTAAGTACATCTTGTACAAAGTACACAAAATACAAATGGGGATAGATGATGTTTTCATTTGTGTAATCTGTGCTTCTCTGATGAAAGATGTTACAGGTTAAATCCCGTTACAATGAAAGCTACAAAAATCAAAATGTTGCCAAAAATACCTTCAGGCCTTTGCTGATGGCTTGATGGATGCTACAACCCTAGGGAGGAATAACTACCTGCCCTGAAAGCTTTCCTCCTCGGCTCCAAAAAACTCTCCTGATTACACCATTACCTTAGATTCACACTCGAGCTGTCTCCTCTCCCAAGCCATCTGTAGGTTCCCAATGAATAGGGACGCTATCTTTTATCGATTGTTAGTCTTCCCCCAAAGCACCAAGCAAACCCTGATGCTTGTAACACACTTTTGAATAAATGAACTCTTTCTCATGTGGAAGCACAAGGCCAGCAATTTCAAGGAGCAATGCAGGGCAATGGAGCCGACCAGCTTTGGGACATTCACACCCATGATCCCAGCACTGGGAAAACTGGCAGGGGTGTTCATTAGAACACGGAACTGGGACCGAAATGTACCCCCCCACCCCCAATGCCACAAAAATATCAAGTTCTTACACCTTTTCCCCCTAAGGAAGGTTTAAAAAAAAAAGTTCTACAATCTGATACATATTAATGCATCATAGGAAAAGCGTTAAGACAAATTAAGGAATTTGGATATTCTACTGAAAGGTGTTGTAACGGGATTTAACCTGTACAAAGTTCTACGTAACTATGGTTATTCTTATGCTGTTATTCCTCTAACTGTATCCTCTTAGGGAGATACAGTTAATCGGTCAGTTAGTCAACAGAAGTCCCTTGCCCTATCTAATGGTGCTCTCAAAAGCAAGTCACTTCATCCAAAGTTACAAACTGGCTAGTGCCAAGGTCACCCCTTTTAACATATTAGACTGTAAGTGGAAATTAATTCCAGGCTTCTTTTCCCCACCCCTGCCCATCCCATCCCACACCCAAATGAAGGCATCATATGTACTGTCAGAGCACCATCAGGAAGGCAAGATGGACTTCTGCAATCTCCAACCCTCTGTTCTGTTTCCTCAGTACAGAATGTGCAGCCTCCCTAAGGCCTGTCGTAAGAAGAGTTAAGAACCAGGAAATCCTGGACCAGGCAGACAGCCGAGAGAAGGTAAGCCGTGAGGTGAGTCAGGGAGAGATGGACTCACCTGGCCAAAACGGAGGTCAGAGAACTTTTTCGTCCGGGAAGATAGGAACCAAAATACATTTGGGAATCTGTGAAATCTTACTTCAGAGGCATAAGTTTATTTGAAGCAGATATTCAAATATATTGTACAAATATTTAGTGTGACTTCAAACTTTTCTCCAACTAACTCGGCAAGATAATAAAAATTATCTTTCATAAGTTCTAAAATAAAACTAAAAAAAATTAGACATTTATTAGAACTTTGAACACTGGATATTTAATATTATTAATTTTTTTGACGTGAACATTACTGTGGGCATTTTTTTAAATCGTCTCATGTATGAACTGAAATATTTATGGAAGAAATTATACAATCCCTGGAATTTGCCTCAAAATAATCCAAGGGGAGTGGGAGAGGGTAAAGATCTGAAAGAAGTCTGCCCATGAGGGGAAGGTGGAGAATGGGCACGTGGGTTCATCATACCTTCTGTCGACTTTTACACATGCTTCAAATTCCCGTAATAAATTTGTAAAACTAGGCATTGAAATTTCAAGACCCAAGAAATCATAATGCATCAAATATGTATAAGAAGCCACCCAGCTCTATAAATATATTAGAAATCACTGAACTGTACACTTTAAATGGGTGAACTATATGATGTAAAGCTGTTTTTTTTTTTTTTAAAAAAGGCACCCAATGATAGTTGAAAAGATACTGCCACTGGCTTCCTCCCATCTTCCTTCTTTCTTTCCTTTCTTCCTGTTTTTGGCTTGGTTTTCAAGAGAATCTCTCAGTTAAGAGTCACATATTCATTAGCCTATGATGTAGGAAATGAAATGGGTAAAGTGACAACAATACTAAAAAGGATGTGATTTATAGCTTTTAACTTTTATTTTAAAGTTACAAAAGATTTTTTCAAAGTTGATTTATTTTTGATCGGCCAAGAACTTTTAAATTAAAAACCTAGATTTCTAAAAATCTAAATTCTATTAGCTAGGAAGTAAGATGAGAGAGTAGAGGACTTCCACTTTTTACTGTACATACTTCTATATTTAAAAACGTGTTTAGAAGTATACATTATTTTTATAATAAATATATTTAGTACAAGGTTTCAAATGTTACTTTTCTGACAAAATTACATTTAAAGGTTTCGGCACTTTAAATGAGACTATGAAGGAAGTAAATGTTAATATTGCAGAGTATTTTCAAAATGTTGCATTTTATGCTTTGAAAAGAAAACAACTTGTGGGGCTAGGACAAGGCAGTATCATTCAATTAAATTTTGTCTTATATAGTTCTAGGATTCAAAAAAGTTCCACTTTAAATTACCTGGTGTACCTGATGTTAATGTTTCCTGTTTAAGTTACCTGATACAATAAGATAACAGGTTTATTTTTTCAAATTTGTTTAAGCCATCGGGCATAATAAACCCTTATCATTTGGCCAGTTCTTAATCAAAATGTCCTCCAATAATGAGGAAGAAAATAGTTCTAGGACTAAACTACATTAATAAGGCCACAGCACTTGTGAGATGAAACGAAGCCACACCTCAGCTCTCCCTACAGTCTGTGCATGGGGTGGGGGGTCTGCCTTTGTCTGTATCAAGATTTTTTATACATAGCTATTTAAAGGTCATTTAAAACATTTGTAATACCTGAAACATTTATCTTCAAGATAGCTTTAAAGATAACACTACTTGTGATCTGCTTGAGGGCCAGGTTGGGAAAAGTGATGAATCAGCTACAAAGAATGACACGTCATTAAATGAAATGCCATTTAAGAAACCTAATCACCACCGTTATAGATGATGTTATAATAAGGAAACAGACACGAGGCTACAGAAATAAAATGATACAAACAAGAGTGTCTGCAGAAAGTCACGTGACATTCTCTTCCTCCCACCGCTCTCCCCGTCGCCAAAACAGAACCAACTGGCTCATTCAGCTATGATTTTCTTTTTAAAGGTTCTTTTACATACAGAGTAAATTGGCTGTGGTCTTTTAAAAACACTTTGGGAGCCATAAATGAAGGACTAAGAAAAAATAATCCAAACACTAGCTAGGCTCAACTCCTGGGGCATCTAAGGTTCGGTCTGGGAAAAGAATCCATCTCTCTCCACTCATCTGGGATTATCCTCCTGAGTGAAGTCACAAGTACTCCCAGACGGTCGGCATCTCCCTAACAATGACAGGATGTGCAGCACTGTCCTGCGTGTTCAATCACTGTGATGTTCGTCTGGCCTCTTCACTGTGCAGCCCATGGCACTGATGATGTCTAAAACCCACCTTGGTTACCTGACTGCACTCAACTGTCTGAGAAGACTCTCCATAGGGAACTGGCTGGCATCCCTGCCCCGCTAGGTCCCTGTTCAGGATGGGGCTATGTTCCATCTCTTCAGGTGAGCTGGGGCAGGGAAAGTGTGGGAGTCTTGACTTCACGGAATGTACGGCAGTCACGACTCACCAACACGGACTCCAACCTTCCTTCTGCCTGACTGCTATGAAAAGAAATGTCGCATATGTATTGCTTTTAGGGTTTCTTACAGTATTTTCTGAAGATACAGAACATTAAAATATCAGATTGCAATGTGATGACTGAAAGTATAGTTTATGTGACTATTTAATGAGCACATGTGCACAAGAATTTAAACACATGAGTGATTTCTAACATTTTATCGTTGTCTCTAGAGTATCAGTTATCCCAAGGCCCATTCTAAAATAATTTGATCCTTTTGAACTTTAGAAAATGGATTGACTGGATGGACGTCAATAAACGAGAACCTAAGCCGATAAAAACGCGAGCACAAATAGGTGAGTGGAAGCCAGGGCCAGAAGATGCAGTTCAGGACCTTCTCAAACGAAGTCTGAGCGCCTGTCAATGGCTGAGCCCAGAGCCCTGAGACTTGCAGGGCTAACTATCTTAGCCAAAAGCGCCCAAGGGCTGGCTTTTCTAGAAAGTGCCCTCACTTCTTCAGCCCATATATGCTGCTTTCGGATCATCATGAACTTCACAAAGGTCTCCAGCACCCAGCCGAGACGTGTAAGACAATGCTGTTTGACAAGGACGACGAAGAAAGTTCGTTCCTAACTCTGAAGAAAATGTCTGTTGGTCTGCCTGTCTGTCTGTCTGTCTGGTGTTTCTATAAATGCTGAAAGTGGTATGAAGGAAGAAGAACCTACACACTTCCATTGAACTCTTGAGTTGAGGCCCATACATTTCTATAAAATTACTATGTTTGTCATTTTCTACTGAGGAAACAGAAGTAAGGGATCTGATTTGCCTTGGACCGAAAAATAAAACAAAAAACCGAAAAGGCATATATTCACTATGTAACATTCTGAAATCTTAATCACAGTACCTCTTTGTACGCACAGCACAAACTGTAGCTGGTGCTACTTAACAAGCATTACAACTTTCTCTTTAAAAAGCATTTCTGGAAGCCAAGAACTAAAAGAAAGAAATTACAGCTGTAGAGAAGGCTCCGACTTCAGAGGTCTCATACTATACCGTGAATCGTGTCTGTCACCTGGAAACCAGAGTGCTCTAGGCACGATGGCATGGGCAAGCCTGCAGCAGAGAACACACGCACAGACAGCTAAAGTGGTGCATCACCCCGTGCCCTCACTCCACCCAACACAACACATTCCTTCCCAAAGAGGGGCTGGCTGCGTTCAAGCCATCCTTCCAAGGACCAGAAATCTGGGTTGGCTTCATGCTCCAAATCCCGAACATTTAACAGCAGCAAGACAGAGACACTTGGAATATGTCAAAATTAGACACAGTTGTCTGTGGTTTATTTCATTATCAAAAGAAGGCACCAAAGCAGGTATGGAAAAACTACAGGCAGTGATGTGACAACTATCTTTGGAGAGTATTCCCTGGAGAAATACTAGGTTAGACCTAATGGGAACAGGCGATACTAGACAGAATTCTCACTCCCCTCTGAGAGGGCAGTGCTGCCGACTTAGAAGTGGGTATAATTACACCATACTCAAAGTACAAGGGGGTATGAAATGATTTTTTTTAAAAAGCAGAATAAACTCATAATGGCCCTAATACCAATGAAAAAAAATATCATTCACAGTATTCAGTTACAAGGGACATGTGCTCCCACAGCCCCTGGGTAAGGGAAGGGTTCTCCACTAAGGACTGTCCGCCATACTATCTTTGCACAGAAATGTAACCTTATTTCCATAGACAAATGTTTTTAAGCAGTCGCTTAACTTCTCAGTAGTCAATAGTTTAACATTATCTACAGGCTCTTCCGTATTTTACTGTGGTTTAATTTTTAATTAAACTGGAGATAAGAGAGAATGAGGAAGATGCCATTTTGTTTTCTGCGTTTGAAAGGGACAGGGTCCCACATTTTACTCTTCTGAATTAGTGATACATATCTGCGTTGTGCCTTGATGCCTTTCATTTTATTATGGTTAGTACTCAAACAAGCACTAGTATTAGCTTTCTATTACTTAAAAAAAAACATAACAAAAACGTTTTTCCAGACAACACTCCAAGAGGGATCTTGGACGTGTATTATGAACACTCATGCCTGTGAGACCATTCTAACGGTGAGGCCAAACCACTCCATTCATGCACAGAAGGACTAGGCTTAACACAGAGCCACTGTTCTGACAGAGGAGGGACAAAGCGATCCTCTGACACTTCAGCCAATTGGCACAGGTTACACCGAATGAACAATACGTACTGACGTGTGGGTCTTCCACAATTCATGATAAATAAGCAAACTGGTTATGTGTAGTAGGCCAAACTCGCTTCTTTGAAAAGGCTGCTACTGGGCGTTGCGGACGGGTGTTTCTTCCCAGTATCAGAAAGGAAAAAAATCAAGTTACATTTATGGCTAATCTTACAGTTGCAAGCTCTCTTTTAGCAATTCTCTCTCTTTCCACAATGGCAAAGGCTGAACTATTAAAACTTCTATTAAGCTACCTTAGTTTAGTGAGGGCTAATTTAACAGTTGAGTTTGTCTTTCGTCATCTATGTGGCTCATGAAATAACCTCCTTCCCATTAAAAATTAAAGCTAGTCTATGTGAAATACATTATATTGATACACTTTATTTTAAGGTCAGATTAATATTTGCATGTTTAATAATTTCTTGCAAATAATATTGTATAGCTGTTTTTCAAAACAATATTTGTCTTATCGTGTTGCTATTTTCAAAAGGACTCATTCTTCCCCTTGTCAAACACGGGACTTTTCATAAGCCCCCTAAAATTAATACACATCCTAAACAAAAGCTCCAGGATACAGTTAGAAAGTTTGCTTATGTCTCATCTTCTATAGAGACGGGCTGGAAGAGACAGATGTTAGGGACAGAACTGAACCTTAACCCCGTCAGAGAGTTTTACCTTGGCCTTCTGTTACTTAACCCTGAGTGAACTGCGCCAAGAGCAGTCATTCACTGCCACTACGGAGATAAAGCAAGTTAGACATCTCGCAACACCAAGACCAAGAAACATGAGAACGTTGAGAAGCATTCAATTACTTTAAACCAAGTCACTTGTAAATCATTTGCTAATCGAAACACATGAGAAATATTTCTATGTAACAGACTTAAAACAATGGGGAAAGGGAAAAAAGGGACATAATACTAAACTGGTGTGTCGTATAATTAAGCAAAATCAGCAAAATATTCTGAGAAAATACATAGGCCTATCATTATGTACGGTATTCAATTAACATTTTTCAAGAAAGGGGCAAATTCTAACCCATCTTCAAGGATGCTACCACCATATTTATATAGCTGACTGGGGGGACACCAGTCACACTGGCATACACACGCACCCACCAGGGAGCACACATGCGTATACGGATGTGTGTCCTCCTGTGAGGCAGAGTGAAAAAGAAGCAAAGCATAAATTTGTGTTGTGCTAGAGTTAATTCTGTCTTCAACCCATACATTTATCATGTTATGTGATTCTTTACTTGGGGCTCTGTATTTACCCAGCCACATCTCCTAATTAGTGCAAATTCTGACAATTTACTATCAATTCTGGCAACTTCTGTTGTTGTTATGGGTACAAAGGCCTTGTTTGTAGACTATAAATACCCCTCCTTCCATTACAGGCCAGATTTGTTCCAAAGAGTTGATCATAAACCAGGAACAAGATTGCACCCATGCCCCGGTAAAAAATAAAAGCAATACTAGACAATTAGAGCTGAGTTGAAAATATTTGGAAAGGAATTTAGATTTATGGTAAAATCTCTGGCATGGTGCTGTAAAAGCTCAGCTTTTAATGCACAGGGCACTTTGCCCAGCTGACATCTCAGAAGCTCCTCAGTCTCCTCCACTCCTTTCTGTCTCTCTCACCAGATATTTCCAAGAATCCCCTCCTCAGGCTGTCAAGTATTCACAGGGACCACGGTCTACAGTGGCCATCGATGTGAACTTCTAACTACATCCGTGCCCCTGCTAAGCCCTGCAGAACTTGGGAACCAAAGAGATTTAAATTTGAGGCTGTAGGTACCATAGTTTTATTAGGTTCAAAATTCAATTAAAAAAAAAAGGGTACTTGAACTAAGGGCTCATCCAGCTGACCAATTATATTGAAAACGTAGATTCTCACCTATGAAGTGAAGCAATAGCTTTTTTCCCAATAAAACGGAGTTCACTGTCTAGTAGAGTCAACTATGAGATTGTTAGACATTTTCGTATTATCAATTTAGTAAACTACTCATTTCCCCTTCTATCTAAGATGCTTTCCACCAGCACAGTTTCCGCCCTTCATCAGCAGATGTGCCACTGGGGATGGAAACTGGAAAACAAAATGCAAAGTGCCCCTCCCCCCCAAATTAGACTTGTATGTTAAACATACTCCATTCTGTTAGTTTGGTAAGAGTTAAATCCATTTTAAGTGGCTTCAACTACTCTATTTATTCTTCTGAGTCACCCAATCGTCTTTTTAAAATTTTCTTAATAAATAGGGATATAGACTTGTTTCTATTTCCAGACGTTTCTATTGCACTTAACTACTGCAAGGTAATACTTTTAGGCTGCTAAAATTTCAAAAAGACAAAAGATAACAACTGTTAGACAGTGAATCTTTATTAGGGAAAAAGATAACTCCCGAGTCACAGGCCAGGCTAGAGCGGGCTTTTACAATGCAGTAACTTACACAGGAACACAGCACAGCCTAGAGCTATCCTGGCCAACGTGGTGCTCACTAGTTACCTGTGACCCTGTAAATTTAAATGAGTTAAAATGAGCTATACTTTAAAATTCAGTTCCTCAGCGTCACCTGACACATTCTGAGTGCTCAACAGCCACGTGTCTGGTGACTATCGAACTAGACAACACCCAGAATGGTGCCGTCACTGCAGAAAGTTCCCTTGGGCAGTGCCACTCTGGAGAATAGCACCCGGCTCCTAGCTGAGTCTAGTACGTGGAGGAGCAAAGCGTACACTCAAAAGGCTTCTACTGAAGTTATAAGTAGAAACTAAAGTTTTGTAAATCAGATATAAACAATATTCTTATATCACATGCCATTTCAGCAGCAGGTTATTAAACTGTTCTGAAAATGTATGGCTTAAATGCAAAGCACATGAAACAAATGAGCAGAAATGGACCATTATTATAGAATATACACAGTCCCCAAAGAAAAAATGGCTAAAAAGACTGAGATCATTAAAAATGCCAGACAGGCTTTGAGTGTTCAAATGCTGTGCTTTGAAACTGTAACTTGATTAAATAAAAAAACTGAACTGCATGGTAAACACAAGAATCTTCTCTGCTTGTTTATCATCAAGGAGTCAGTGTTTGCAAGTTAGTGTGGCCCTGACTGTATGTCAACTGTATGCACCTAATAACAAGATGAACTCAGTTTTCTCAGGAAAATATGTGTCAGTGGAATAGCTATGAACCTCTAAAACATGCGGAATTGTTTCCAGCATATCCAGATCTTAACCACTTTCACAGCTTGACACAGCCAAAGAAAAATTAGACAACAAAAGGGCTCATTCACATTATGACAATTTGTTAAATGAATTAACACCTTAGACTACAAATGTCAACTTTAGTATTTCTAAACATAGAATCAAATACCATAGATGTGGACATGACTTGCTTTTCAGACTGAGCTGAAAAAGACAATTCTTTTTAAAAAGTTAAGTCAGAAAACCATTCTGCTCTATTTTATGAAGATAAAAAGGGGTCCTTCTAAAGAAGACTAAAATGGGTATTAAAATTTTAGTTTATTTACCATAGAATTATCGACCAAACATGTCTATGTGTGGTCAGTGAAATGGCAAATTCATGGCATAAACAGGTAAAAACTGGTTATCTAGAGCATCCTATATTTGACTTGGTTAGACAATTCAAATAGCACACTTTAATTACCTGCAAATTAGATTTGTAGATTATTTAAGTAATGTAAAAATTTTAAAAGATTATGAATCTAACAAATTTAAAGTTTTAAAGAAATCTCAAAGGGAGGTTAATAAATTCAGCTTCACTAAGATTATACTTTCTTAACTAGTACCATCCTCTAAAATTGTGTTGATCATGCTATAAAAACAGTATCTTCCCTACAGCACAGTTCTTATAATCTAGGTCTGAGCTGACCATTTCATTGTGCTTTAGGAAATTCGAGCATCATCAAGAACTACTAAAGATTTAACCAACATTATGTGTTCTCTGGATGTAAAACTGGGAATAATTGTACTAATTTACTAATACATGTGGGTAAAAACAGGAAATGAACTTAGAATGCAAAAAATAAAGCATGTTGTGCAGCCCAACTCAAATCAAAGCAATGTATTTCGATATTTTTAATAACATTAACGAAGTACTTAAAATCTCTTTGCAGACATTTGAGGAAAAAGGATCACAAAACCTAAAAAGGGCCCTCCCACTCCCAAAGCAGCCCAGGAACTCACCATCTGTAGAATCGCTCCGTAGAGCCGGAGCAGCACCTTCCGAGGCTCATCGCCAACAGCTGCTATTGTGTCGGGCAAGGAGCACTGGAACAGCATGTTGCTGAGGCCGCCTCTGTTGGAAACAAGAGGACAGCTAGTGTTTCTCGGTATTGGGAAAGTGAGCTACATCACTCTTCTCGGATAAAATACAGATGAGAAGTCAGGATCACACCAGGGCTGTTCTCATCTTAAGTTCTGATTTATTCTCTCAGAGTGCTTGGAACATAAATGATTAAGTTCCAAGTTTTCAGATTAATTCCATAAGTCACAAACTGGAACAGCAGAGAACAGAGGATTCCCTGAGACTATCGTCCTGAGAAACTCTTTAAACCTAGAACTGAGCCTATCCCCCGAGATCACCTTTTAGCAAAATAGCAGACTGGCACACAAAATAAAGGATATTACCCGTAAGATTGGTGCCCTACTTAAAAACCAACACTATGAGACCAGAAGGTCAACAATTACTCCAAATGCAAAGATAAGAAGATAAGGGGGCAGTACTGGAAAGGGATCAAACAGAACACAATGAAAGAGAACGCTGCCACACTGTGATAGATTTAACTAACGTCAGTGAACTATCTGTGTGGGAACTATCAACTGGGAACCTGGCTTGATGTGTAAACTTCCACCAAAAACTCAATGAAATATTTAAAAAACAACAACTCTGTGAGTCACATTAAAAACAGGCAAATTGCCAACCTGTCTGTCTAGATTAGAGCTGTGGGAAAGTTAGCAAAGCTGCACGTGTGCGCCCACGGCCATTGGCCCCTAGACAACGATCCCTGATGCGCTCCCATGAGGCCATCTTCTTCCAGAACCCAAAGTTTCCATCCTCTTTCCGTAATTACCAGGTTAAAATCTTGGGGTGATTAAACTTAAACCTTCTCCTTCAGGGCTGTCTACTGAAAGTGTAGCTCTCACCCAATTCTGACTAACAGCCTCTTCAAAGAACTTGTAACATTAACTGGTTATTGAACCTGTCACATGAAAGGTCTCTAGACCCTGAACTTTCAACTCTGGCTACCAAGGACAAGTAACGATCTGGCCTATAATGGAGAAAGCAGACATAAAACTATAACCATAAAACAGAAACTTAAATCACAGTATGGTATCTGAAGTTACAGTGTTGTGTGCCGTCAAGTCAATTCTGACTCATAACAACCCCATGTGACAGAGAACAACTGTCCCACAGGGTTTTCTTGGCTATAATCTTTACAGAAGCAGACTGCCAGGTCTTTCTTCCCCACGGAGCAGCAGGGGTTCAGACCACCAACCTTTCGGTTAGCAGATGAGTGCTTAACCAATGAGCCACCAGGGCTCCTTGTTTGAAGCTATAGGTTTCAGCAAAACCTTAACAGATAGCTGCCTGTCAAATGCACACTCGTGCCCGACATAAGACAGCATCAATATCATACAGCTGCATATGCGCTCATCTTTGGAGAGAAAGTTATCAGCAAACAGAACCACTGCTTTCTAGACTGACACCACCCCGGTCACAGGAATCACCAACTTCTTGTCCCTGTCCCATCCTATGAACATTCTGGACATTCAGTAACAAAATTATTTTAAGTTCTGCTCATATGGAGGAAGACTCATTAACAACCTGCAATATGCAGATGACACAACATCGCTTGCCGAAAGTGAAGAGGACTTGAAGCAGTTACTGGTGAAGATCAAAGATCACGGCCTTCTGTATGGATTACACCTCAACATAAAGAAAACAAAAATCCTCACAACTGGACCAATAAACAACATCATGATAAATGGAGAAAACACTGAAGCTGTCAAGGATTTCATTTTACTTGGATCCACAATTAACACTCATGGAAGCAGCAGTCAAGAAATCAAACGACGCACTGCACCGGGCAATTCTGCTGCAAAAGACCTCTTTAAAGTGTTAAAAAGCAAAGATGTCACTTTAACGACTAAGGTGCGCCTGACCCAAGCCATGGTGTTCTCAATTGCCTCATATGCATGTGAAAGCTGGACAATGAATAAGGAAGAACAAAGAAAGAACTGATTGGCAAAGAATATTGAATGAATATACCACGGACTGCCAGAAGAACGAACAAATTTCTCTTGGAAGAAGTTCAGCCAGAATGCTCCTTAGAAGCAAGGATGGCAAGACTTCATCTCACGTACTTTGGACATGTTATCAGGACGGACCAGACCCTGGAGAAGGGCATCATGCTTGGTAAAGTAGAGGGTCAGCAAAAAAGAGGAAGACCCTCAACGAGATGGACTGACACAGTGGCTGCAACAATGGGCTCAAGTATAACGATTGTGAGGATGGTGCAGGAGCGGGCAACGTTTTGTTCTGTTATACACAGAGTCACTATGAGTCAGAACCGACTTGATGGCACCTAACAACAATCACACAATGATTTTTTTAGAGACTAAATTTAAAAATTACAGTATGATTCCTTTTTGATAAAACTTTTTCAGTCTATCCCATCTTTGCATCCACAAAGAGAGATCTAAATCACAGGCATCTAATCCACTGCCATCTAGTCGACTCTGACTCACAGTGACACTACAGGATAGAGTACAACTGCCCCATAGGGTTTCCAAGGCTGTAAATCTTTACACAAGCAGACTGCCACATCTTTCTCCTGTGGAGTGGCTGGTGGGTTCAAACTGCCGACCTTTGGGTTAGCAGTCAAGCACTTAACCACTGCACCACCAAGGCTCCTATGGACACCTAATACTAACGGTTATTTCTAGTTAATTTTTTTTTTGCTCTCTTTGGCTTCTCTGTATTGCTTAGAAGTATATCATCTTATATAAAAACAATAAAGTCATTCTTAAAAAAAAAAAAAAGATACCATGAAAATACAAGACCCATATGATTATCACCGCCCCTACTTGTAAGGATGAAGAACCACTCAGATTATATGGGAATAAAGTCAATGAGATACCCAGAGATAGCACAGTAAAGGGTAAAAACAAGACCACTTGGGCTCACTTAGGACCAGTGAGACAAGACCAATCTGTACAAAGTATTTTTAACCCTTTCCTGACTCATGAAACATACGGCACCCCACCCACTTTTTAGGCCTCTGGAGTTCTTTGGGAGTATATCCTTCCAGCTGAAAGTATTCGCTTCCCTCCAGGGGGGACCGTGTAACGATGAAAGGCGAAAGCAACATTCATTGAAGCAAAACAGCTGGGGCACTAGGCAAAACCAGAGGCATCCCATGTACCAAAATTGAAGGTGCCCTGCAATAAAGCCTGTTACCCAAGACCAGTGGACCACACCGAGTTCCCACAAACCATGTGTTTTCACATATTTCTCAAAATCTGTATTACCAACCAAAAATTTAAATACACTCAATGACTTAGCAAGCATTCCACTACTGAAAATACCTGGTATCAACAAAAAATTCAAAGCAGAAAATAATTGGGTCTTGAAAGGGTTAAAAGAAGGGCTCAAGCCAGAGATATGGTTTCATCAAGGACTGTCAACCAGTCCACATATAAATACAATCACACATTCACAAAACGTACTGGAATGGTTTCCTCATAAATACAGACTACGTCCCGTGGCATGCTGGCAGACTTTTACCAACCAGCTCTGGGAGGGGGAGCCCTTGTTTGTAACTGATTTTTACAATGTAAACACAGGTAGTCCCTCACTTATGACGGGGTTCCGCTCCAACGACTCTGGTCCGTTCTGATGTAGGTCAAATGCCTCATTTTTTTTTAGTTCTCATCTTTATTGCCTTTCATTATCAGTATCTTTATAAATCTAATCTTCGTCTTTACAGGTTGAAAACATTACACACAAACTTACAGGTATATTTTAATACATACATACATATATGTTGCTATTGTTGTTAGGTGCCATCGAGTCGTTTTGATTCACAGCGACCCCATGTGACAGAGCAGACCTGCCCCACAGGGTTTTCTAGGCTGTAACCTTTACGGGAGCAGATCGTCCGATCTTTCTCCCGTAGAGCCACTGGTGGGTTCAAACTGCCGGCCTTTCAGTTAGCAGCCAAGCACTTAACCGTTTGCAAGACCTGGGCTCCTATATACAGACATAAAAAAAATACACACATCAGTTAAAAATGGATGACTTTGGCATTTTGTCAGTTGCAGTAATAACTCCACCTGTGGGAAGTTCTGGATCATCTGGATTATCCTTGGGAATGGGGATGGCGTTTCTAGAAAGAAAATTAGTGGAGTTGTCTATATGGCCATTTTACACGCTACAACACTGTATGTAGTAAATATTACCAATGATAAGATGTTAAAAAAAAAAAAGAGAGTCATAAGTGAGGTTCGTCATTAACTCGAATTTGTTGTAAGTTGGGGACTAGGTACTCCCACCACGACGTCACTGAAAACAGAGTTGGGAAGAGTCCGCAGAACACACCATTACTATGTGGTGCTCCTACCATAACACAGATGTAAAGAACATCAAGAGGATAGGTAATAGTCAAACAATTAGGCAGCAAAGAATTTTGAATATATTACCTTTGTGTTTCATACAATCTATTTAATTTTACATAATGGCAGTGCTTAACAACCAGCTTGCAAAAAAATTCTTAAAACTTAACTGGCTCTCGCAAGCTAGTACGAGCAGGCTTCAGCACATCACTGGATGTGTCACTAAAACCTACCTCAAAAAGTAACAATTTTTTTCCCTATGTAATGATTTTTCTTTGACCAATTAAAAAACTTGAATGTGCTTCTACACACGCAAGTTTTCTCAGATTATTTAAATAAAAATCATACTTACGAGTTTTTTTTAATAGTTTATTTAAAAGAAAAACAATCGTGACTATCTAGGAACAACAGCAAGAATAAGGACCTATTTCCCCAGAAAGCAAATAAATTGGCTATGCTAGTTAAAAGGAGCCCCGGCGGCACAGTGGTTAAGTGCTCAGCTGCTAATCAAAAGGTCACGGTTTGAACCTACCAACCACTCTGCAGGATAAAGTTGTGATGGTCTGCTTCTGTAAAGATTACAGCCTTGGAAACCCTATGGGCAGTTCTACTCTGTCCCATAGGGTTGCTGTAAGTTGGAATCAACTCGACGGCAATGGGTTGGGTTGGGTTGTGCTAGATAAGAAGGAACAGAAAGAAAAGGGAACCCAGAGCTCTTGTTCTTCCCAAAGTAAGCTGTGGGTGAAGACGAGGGAAGGTGCAGAAAGAACCAAAGGAGCCGTCTCAGCCACCCTGCCACATCCGGTCACAGCCACCACTGGCTTCTGGCTACCAAGCAACAGGACAGGCATTACACCAAAGGTAAAAGCCCTAGTTTTTCTTCCTGTCACATACTCTTGAAAGCTCAGTCAAATGCACTCGCAAACAGATGAGCTACTGTTCTAAATTCTGTAACCTGATTCAAAGTTTATCCTCGTACTTCTAAAGAAGGAAGGAAGGCTAA